TTTGTATATTGATTGTGTTATGTCTGTTCTACGTTCACATAGTTTCTGAAAATTACAATGGAAGATATGTAAAACATACACTAAGAAGATAAGTTTTTGTAGTATCGTAACAGTACGTGTCCCATTGGAAATTTTGGAAATAATTAGAGATTAATGCGAATTAATTTTAAAAAGTCTCGTATTAAATTAGTTCGTATTAATTTTTTCTGATTAAAAATCAATTTGAATTACTTTAACTTGATAAATTAGTCCAAACTGGTTACAATTCAATTGATTTGACTTAATTTATCAAATTAAATTAATTTAAATTGATTTTTAATTGGAAAAAAATTAATGCGAACTAATTTAATATGACACTTTTTTAAATTAGTACGCATTAATCTCTACTTATTTCCAAAAGTTCCAATGGGATATGCATACCTGATTCGTGTGAGACTTTTGTTATTTTCAAGGAAAACTTCGTTTAAATAATATTAGGTCTTTATTCAGATAATATGTACCACGTTTCATTTCGCTTCCTTTTCTTTTGAGTTAAACAAAATTTATGTCCGTTGTTTCAGATAACGTTTTGTTTATCTTTGCTCGCTGTAAGAAATCGGTTACCGAGGCTTGTAAAAGGTGCAATTTTTTGAAATTCTTGAAATATTTTTGTTCTCGCTTGCCTGTATTGCCTCTTCGTCCACAACAGGCTCTATCTGACTCACGAAGGTCACGTTACGAAAGATAGTTTTTATTATTATAGGAACTAATCCAGCATGAAACATCTGCTGCTTCTCATTCTCTCTTTTTTAATGTTTCGTCAGGGTCACTTTTGTTTTTTCCTTTTACTGTTCTGTGAAATACTGGTAAAATGAGTTATCATTTATTCTCTGCGCTTTCTTTTTTCTATCAGTTATTGTGCAATACTACAGAATTCTTATATTAGGTGATTGTGCTTGACAAAACGGAGTTATTTTAATAATCAAGCTTAATGTCTCTTCCTTCTGACACTTTTTCCCGACAAATATTCTTTGAAATTCACAATGATTTACCTCGTCAAGGACCCGGTAATATTCAATTAACGCTCGCTGCGCTCACCTGTGTTTCTAAAACGGCTGACCACCAACAGCTTAACATTCTTGACATTGGATGTGGCACCGGCGTTGCTTCAATTCCACTGGCGAAAATGGGTCACCAAATCACTGCCGTCGATAATCATAAACCATTCTTAGAAACACTAACTGCACAAGCCAAACAAGAAGGTATTTTGGATCGTATTCATGTACAATTGGGAGATATGTTCAGCCTCGAAAAAATACTTCCTACAAACACTTTTGATGTGATTTGGTCGGAAGGATCGATTTACATTATTGGCTTTAAACGTGGTCTCACTGAATGGAAACACTTCTTAAAATCCAGCTATCTGGTGTGTTCCGAAGTATCTTGGCTCTCGTCCAGTCCACCATCAGAAGCTCAAGAATTTTGGTCTAGAAATTATCCCGGGATGCTCTCACGAGAAGCAAATATTGATCTTATCAAACAATGTGGATATGAATTAGTCAACAGTTTTGTGGTACCCGAAAGTGCTTGGGAGGAATATCATAGACCGATGGAAAAGAAAATTGAGGAGTTGAGAGGGAAATATGAAGGTTTTTTTTCTGACCTGTAGCACTTTAGTACCAAAACTTTACAGAAATTACTATTGTATTTGTGGAAATCAAAAGCCAGTTATGTTCTGTTTGTAGGAAAAGTCAAAAAACTACACCAAAACAAAGTACAGAACGGTTTCCGACCTTTTCTTCAATCAATATTGCTTATAATCTCTTCATAATATAAAACACGTAACCATAACTCTGTGAACATTTCCTATACAAATTAATTTCAGTTTGTTGTTCTTGTAGCACACTTTCAGCTTCTTTATGTCCTTTATACTTCACGCTCAATTCCTCAATTTTTTTTCTCCATCGGTCCATAATATTCCTCCCAAGCACTTTCGGGT